TTCGGAAATTAACAGGGCTCATAGAGGCCAAACCAGCCATGTTTTCCTGCTTGCTGCAAATAATCGTTTAAAGTCCTTTAAAAATGGTTTATAATGTCATTTATTTCTTAAAGTCATAAAACTCGGTTTAATTGATAGTATATAATTTTCCCCTTCTTTTTCATGAATGCTTATAGTTTTTTTCTTTTTAATTCCTTCTGTGTCATTCCTTTTGCATCATTAACTCCTGGACAGACAAAATAGGTTTTCTTAAACAGAAAATGAGCCTCACGTCAGTTATCTATTACTTCAGGTTAACGTGTATATGCATGGACCAACTCTCCATAGGGAGTGTAAGCCTTGTGTACTGCCCCCGAAAAGGGGCCAACATGACAGACCCAAAGTAATTTATTCTGGGGTGCCTGGGGGCCTGAGCACCTTCACCTGGAGAGGAACAGCTGCCTCCAGAGGCTGTGCATGGAGGTGGGGAGTGTTACCCCCAAATCCCACCTGAGGCCCTGGCTAGTGGAAGAACCACAGAGAAGCCTCCCACCCCTCAAAGGAGAAAGGTGAAAGTGAAGCTCCCCCAGCCACAGACCTCATAAATCTTGCAAGTAACTGTCCAGGAGAAGAAACTCATGTCTCTGATAGGCCTCACTTTAGAAGGAATGCAGTTGATTTAGAAGTACAGTTGCTGTTTGTTCAAAGCTACTGATACGTTCAGAAAGTGAACAGATTCAAAATAATACAGTGGACTCAAGCAGTGGAATAAGAAAAAAGTGCCATCATTGGAACATTCGCATGCAGATTATGTCAGTGACATCAGCACCAAGAGAATGTGACCACTTGGGAAGATGTGCTCAATACCTACTGTTTCTTCCTTGTGCTTTATTATAATCGTTCCCATTACGTGATACCATCCTTTTGTACTCTCTTCTCTACCCCTCTTTGCTTGATGGATTTTTAAGCTGTTCCTGGTTAAAATTCCCAATAAGGTGTGTGTTCACAGGCCCCGTGTGGACTTCCTGAGAGACCCTGGCCATGAGGCTGGCTGGTCTGTAGAAGTACTCTGATGGGAGTGGAACTGGAGACTACAGGGAAGGGTAACTGGGTCAGTTATTTCTGCACCCTCAGTGGCAGACCCTTTATTGTCGCCTCCTCACAAGGGCTGCCCCAGTTCTTCTCAGCTGAGCACCCAGCCATGCTGGCTGACCCCATGATTCCTGTGTCCTTCATCTTGCTCTAGTGAGATGGCCTCAGTTGGGCTTCAGAGAAGTGACTTGGGGTGGCCTCTTGTGGTGGACTGCCAATCCCGAGGCCATTTTCACTACAGAAGAGGTAAACCCAGAACACACTCATTATCATTTTGATTTTGTCAATATTATCAACAGCTTCCCACTCATGAAGCTGCAAATAATATAATAAAGTGCTATAAAAATTGCAAGAAATGTTAGTGAATTCAGTCTCATTTTAAATAGCCCACATTTTTTAAATGTGTTACTGTTTTGTTCCGAATGTGAGCCAGTACTTTAAAAGAACAGAGAGTTCAGAACTGTTTCTTTGGAATATTTCTGTCATCTGGAAATGCCTGTGCAGAAGCCCCATGACCGATCTGCTTGGCTGGGATACCTGTTGACATGCTACCAGCTCTTGGAATAGAAGGCAGAGCCAGCATCCCACGAGTCCAGGGGAAAATAGCCAGCATTGCCTGCAGAAACCGTGCAGTAGTTGAAAAATGTTCTAAATATGTAATTTCCAAAGATGATAAATATTCTGGGTGTAACTTTATAATTGTGTCTCTCAAAACAGAGGCTCTCCCAATTGATAAATTTATTTCAAGATGGAAGGCTATGCAGTATATGTGAATAACCACGCCGCAGGTCATGTTTTGGGAATGCTTTAGAACTGTCTCAGCTTTGTAAGGACAAGGACTTGTCTTTCTCCTTCTAATCCTGTAGTCCAGCCTGGCACAGAGCCGGCGCCTACAACGTATGTTAAATGGAATGCTAATGAAAGTGCCCAAGACTCCTCGGGAACTGAAGATCGCTTAAGATTCTGCTCAGCAACTGAGATCATGGTCTTAAAGTACCTTGAGCATTGCGTAGGACAGACATTGGTCTAGACGCCAAAACAGTGATTGTGTAATATACACTGCTAATAGCTTCTCATCTTTCAATGTTTATTTCTCTAAAAGCCATCTTTTTCATCCTTCCAGTGAAAGTAGAAATACCACACCCCTCTTACTGTTAAATATATTTATAATATTAAGGGAAAAACAGTTGCGAAACCATCTAAGCAAGAAGTCAGAAGCTGCTTAGGCTCATAACAACCAGAATCGTGATGGTAGTAAGAAATTAGATAAATGCTTATGTGCTTTGTGAATCTTTGGGGTCATTGGAGTGACAGAAAACTGCAGACTACGTGTGTGCTGGCATGCTGAAGGCCGCACTGCTCTGTGTATCCCCAGAGATTTTCAAATACTAAGTTAAATCCTTTGGTCTCTGTGTTTGATCCAGCATCTGTCTTAGCTAAGGGTACAGCCTCCTTAAGGGCAGCAGGACAAACACTCCGCTGTGTGACTTGAAAGCCTGTCAGCTCCCTCGTCTAAGCCCGGAAGAAAACTAAATTTAAATTTGACAAAGCCAGAAAGCAGCCTCTCACAGCCAACGCTTATTCCCGGGCTTCACTCCCCTGCCTTGAGCTGCTTGGAATTTTAAGATTCAAGGCACTCCACCAGGAATGAGAAGACCTGGATTCTATTCTTGGCGATGCTGGTGAGCGGCTCTGTGACCTTGGGCAGATGACTTCACCTCGGGGCCTCTTGGTGCCTGCACAGTGAGAAGGTGAGCTGGGCGATTTCAGGGACTCTCTGCTCCAACTTCTGTAAGTCTGGCAACACCCACCAGTAACAGTTACTCACGCCGTGCCCCTCTTTACTCTTTCCAGACTGTTCTAGTGTGTGGCTTAATATTATCATTAAAGTGGATCTTTCCAGATCTTTTTTATAACATTGTGTTTCTTGACAGCTCCTGGTGTTTCTACATTTCTTTTCTATTAAGTATTGTTATATGTGTTTCTTTACATATGTGTTACTCATTGAAATAGGACCAGTGGGTCCTCAGGTATGACGCTGTAATACTTTCTGACACATGGTACAGTCATTTGGGTAAATACTTGTATTCAAAAGTCCAAGTTTTCAAATGGCTTAAAAGAAACTTGGATTCTACAACAAATTCCATATTTTTCCCTGTAAGATTTTTTTGCCCTTCTGACACCTGCTTCAGAGACTTAGGCCTGTCTCTGTAAGTACCCCTCCATATGTGTTTTCAGCCCATTTGTTTTCCATATATGGTTTTGGGAACTTTTCTGAAACAAACTTTAGGGAGAAAAGATTTGAAATCTGTGAATAGCTGTGGCCTTCATATGCTGTCATCTAGTTGACTTACCTATGAGATGGGATCAGAATACATGGTGAATATTTAAATTTAAAGAAATGCATTACAGTAAAATGACACATGCCCATTAATCTCACTAAAAATATTCCCCTCTCTTTGAACACACTTATCCCATCATCTTTCTTCCCACTTTGTGAAACAGTTTTGGAAGTTCTTTCTTTTTTTAAAAAAAGGCTCTTGTAAGGAATGGTCAAAAGATATGGTGAACATTAGCACAGACTCCTGCTCTAAGCAAAGGCAGTTTCCTCTTCCACCTGATTCACCCAACTGGGTAGCACTGTGTGACTTCAGACTCTTCCCCAAAGGGAAAACAAGCATGAAGGGGAAACATTTGGAATCAGTTCAGGACACCAGTACACAACGGAAGACCCTCTGAAAAGAGGACTTCCAGAACTGCGCCAGAAAATGGCAGAGCAGTGAGCTGAGGAGAAATATTTTGAGAGGGGTTAATGGAAGTGTGTCTTTTCCTATCATATTTTCTTGTAATTCAAGCATTCATTGCAGTGTTTGTTATATTTTGTGCTTTTTAAGTTTGGCTTTATCAGGACAGGAAGCTAATGAAGCATCTATAGTAAACAGTTCCTGAAGAATCTCAGGAAAAAGGCCACTGAGCTCCATATTGTTAAGTGACCATCGGGAATGTTTAACCTGATGTAATTTCTCCCATGCCTTAGCCACACACTCTATGAATTTTTGTAGGACATAGGAAGAAGTCTCTTTCTTCTGGGAGGCTGGTGGGAAAAACGCCTTAACCTGATTTACAAAGAACACAAAACAGAGAGGTCCGAGTAGCAGGAAGTGTGGAGAAACCATGTCATTTTCTAAGTGTCCACCACTGCTTTTGCATGGCTCCCGTCATCTTTCCACCAAGAGTCCTCTTTGCATTTTACAGCGGACTGAGGCAGACAAGAGCTAACCTGACTGTGTGCCTGTCACTGTATGTAGTCCCTCATGGTCTTACAACTGTGAGTAACAGCCTCTCAGTTAAGTTGGAGCAGTAGAATGGAAACCTAGGTCTCTGACACAGTTCCAAAGTCTTCAATGAGGGAAACCAATTCCAAGCCCTATTCCTACTGCACATAGGTGTGTTTCTGTATGCTTTGGTAAGATACATTATCTCTCTAAGGCAAGGTTGTAAGATGAACTCAATATTTCAGGCACAGTTGCTAAGAGGATGTCCTAAACTAGCAGTTTCTCCAAAGTCCTTGTCATGGAGCCCTACAGAGCGCTGCCTCCCCGTGTCTGGTCACCATTGTTACCATAATTGTGGTGGTTGTTATCACTCCTGAGATTATGATGTCAGACTCTCCAATCAGGGAGATAGACAGGGCAGGATTTCTCTCAGTTGTCCTAAATGTATTAAACTATGGACAGATTGTCATTATTAAGCATTTTAGACACTCATGAAATAGTATCAGGAAGCCAACAAAAAGTAGAAGAAAGTGAATATGCAATACATGAAAGACCATACAGGAGGAGATCTCAACTGAAAATAAGATCTCATTATTTAAACTTTAAGCTAGCCTGTTTGCTGGATGATACACAGTCACTTGTGATTTTTTTCAGCACATCGAACCTATCATCATTAGATATATGTCAGTACAAGACCATCAGAAGAAGAAAAGAATGAATGAATGGATGTGTGCTGCTGGGGAGGCCAAGTCTCCTTGCATTTCCATAAGAGGTCAATTTGGTTATCGTTTACAGAGCATTTCTATACCCTTGAGCTACTTTCCTGCAGGACGCCTCAGTTGAAAACAAGTACAAGACTGTCTCACCATTGCTTTTCTTGACTTCCCCTAAGAAACAGTACCATCTTCAGCTCTGGCTCCACTTTCCTGGAATGCAAAGACATCGCTGTCAGTGTAGAGGCAGGCAGCATACTATCATTGAATCGTGCAGGCTGCAAGACTGCTCTGCACATGGTCCTCTTTCCATTTTTTTAAAGGCAAAATTCAAGTGAGTTTTCACACCTGAGGTTATAATGTTAGACAGATGAATTAAAAGCAGTTGTATGTGTAGTCTGGTCATACAAGTATAGCATAGTGTACACATGTAATACAACCACCACCTGCACTGCTCAGCTACATTCAGGTGGAAACATGCAAGTCCAGCCCGATAAGCTGGGGAAGGGGAGAGAGAAGAAGTGCAAGGAGAAAGACAGTTTCTACCACCCATAAGAGATGCATTTACTTTTCCTAGTAAAAGAAACCTAAAATTGACCATTGTCATCCTGTAGCATAAATCACTCTCTCTTTTGGCAAATTTGAAAACACTGGGCTCTGTTATAACAGTTAAAAATGTCCTGGGCCTGGAGTTGTTTACCCAGTAGTTGCTGCTCTAAAGTTACAGAGCTGTGGTTGGAAGCAGAAGCTTGAAGGCTGGCTCCAAGTCAGTGACGTCACAGGAGGCTCAGCAGCTGCTGGGACACTGAGCTCAGCCCTTGGACTTTTGAACGTGGTGAAAGACTCCAAGGGCCTTGTCAGTACTGCTCTGCGGAATGGTTTGACTGGGGCTGCAGCCCCCTCCCCTTACTTCTGTGTACAAGATTTACAGAGCTTTGCTTGGCTCTGAAGACGGATAGCTCGCCACTGCTCTTTGCATTGCTAGACTGACGGGTAGTCAAGCTGCTGCAGGATCAACCCTCTAGTGCAAAAAGGTACGTTACTTTCTGGCAAATTTGGAAGCAAGTGATTCATTCTGGCAGGGTACAGAGGGGCTGCTGCTGAGGCATTGTAAACCGTGGGTGCTGTGAAGCACTGCGTGATTTCAGCATCTGCCTGTGCTGGTGTCTGGGCTAGGCTGAAGGACTGTGGGCGGGGTGCATAACGGATTGTGCTCCCTGGGAAAGAGGCCTTTCAGCTGCTGAGGGTGGATTTGCAAGTGTGGACTGACAGTGCCACCCGCTCCTGGGACTGTTTCTCACACAATGCTTCTCAGTCATTGAAAAAGTTCTCTGCCCATCGTTCCGTGGACTATTCTTATTAGAACATAGTCTGCGTTAGGATGTAGGCTTTTGATATTTGAAGGTTAACATTCACAACCCTTGAGACTGTTGGTATTTGAAAGTTGCAGTGAAAAATAATGTGGTTTCATTGAAGGTGATGGGGTGGGTGCTTGCAGGATGTGTTTCTGTAATTTGAGCTGAAATCTGAGCCATCTAGAGTGGGTTAATCTACAGTGAGGAGAAACTCTCACCACTGTTATCTTCTGTCCGGCATTTGGGACATGTGCTTACCCAAGCCAAAAGCTTTTATCAATGCTTATATTGTATTGTTAAGAAAAGTAAAACGGGGATGCCTCTAGCTTGGACACTTTGTACTTTGAGTAAATAACTGGAGAGACAACAAGGAAAGAAATGATAATTATGGAGAAACTCAGTTGCTTGCTTTCCACTTGCAAGTGATTGTGTCTCTTTGACCTTGTTGGAATTGGAAGAATGTGCTGAAATAGCAATAAAAAGCAATCCTTTTTTTTTAAAAATCCATTTTTCCCTGTAACTGAATCAAATCTGGATGGTCTCTGAAAAAATATGCTTACTGAACAACAGAGGGAGGAGATCTGTTAATCAGTGGAAATGAGGCAAAGGATTTATAATAGCTTGGAAAGAGAGGTAGAGAATTTCGGAAGCCAGTGATGCAATTCTCAGCTAGGTGTAGGTGTGGGAATTCCTAATCTCTCAAAGTTCCCAAGAAGCAAAGCATCTTCAGGCCAAATGGTTTCTTTAGAAATTTTGAGACTGGCAGTACCTGCTGTGCATCATGTTCCTACTGAGATGTACAACCTGTGATAAATGACAAACCTTCAGTTGTATGAAAAGTGGAATGGTTAGGAAAAAAGAAATAGAAAATCAAAAAAACAAGCATCAAACCTGAACACAATCTCCAAAGAGAGAAGCAGCGGTGGAGTGACCTCTCTGAAGACCATTTGGTTTGGCTGGAATCCTGCCTTCCTCAGTGAATGAGATGTGCTGAAATGGTGATCACCAAGCATGTCAGGAAGGGAGGGCAGAGGTGCAGGGGCAGCCGAACGGAGGCAGATCAGGGGATGAAAATTACTACATGAAATCCCTGTTGCCCTTAGATCCAGCCTCCGGGGTAGGACTAAGAGGCTTGCAAAGCCATTCACTCCAGCACCACACTTACAAAATCACTCTCAATTTCTTGGTGTAGAGCCCTGGAGAGCAGAAGTTGGTTCAAAGGGATTATGTAATGTTAGTTTGGCAAGATGAGGGGAAGAGCCTGTGCTGCTCACTCTGTCCTTTTACATTTGCTCTAATAAATTTTAATTCTGAATGAAATTCTGGAAAGATTAAAATGGAGTGGAGAGCAGATAGATATTTGCGGGAGGGACACAATGAGCCTTCTCTCCCACGTAGATGCCAGGATCTGTGGGAAGAAACAAGAGGACTAGGAACAAAGAGAACTTTTGTATTTTCCTCAGTGGGGACACTAAAACTTCATTTTTAAATCTGCAGATCCATTTTACCCCATAAATTCTCATCACAGGACATTCTGTCCCTAACAAAGTTTGCAGTTTTTAAAACGACTTAATTTAGAATTACAACCAAAGCAACTTTATATAAGATTTACATTTAATATTTTACTAACAAAAATTTCTCCCTAAATATGTAACATTACGTGTCTCTAAAAATACTTGAAAAATACTAAGGCAAAAGAAAACTACAGAGACCAGAGGGGCCTTTACACTATGAGACTTACTTCGTTCCATCTTCCAATTTAAAAAAATTAAAGTAGTATGACACCAGACAAATACAAAAGGATACAGAAGAAGAGAAGAGGGGAGAGAAAAAGAAGGACTAAACAAAGGACCAGGCATTTATAAAGCATTCATTTTGATCCATGCAGTTTAGACACTTTTTTAAAGCATTCTGTCTCACAGAAACTTCTAGACAATCCTCTGCTCCCCTTTAATCTTACAAGAGGAAGTGGTCATATATTCAGCTTTATTACACTTGATCTTTACATTTATGACAAGACTGAAATGCTTAGAAAGGCAAACCAAATCCTCTGCCCCCGAATTGCCAGATACTGCTCTACAGAAGTTTTCTTGCAAAGCCTTCCTTTGATCCTGAACCACTGCATTTTCTGGCAGCAGGAATGGCTCTGGCCCTGGAGAGGGGAAGCTCTGCACCTTGGCCCTTCTCCAAAGTGAGTGAAGAGTTTGGCTTTGCAGATCCGCGCGGGATTCAAGGAATGCTACCTGGGCTCCGCGGAGCTCTCTCACCAAAAGCAAGACTTAGTGTATTTTTGGATGATCCTGTGGTAGACAAAAAAGAGAGGTTCCGGCACTTTTTAAACTAGTAGAGAAGTGGTTCAAGAAGAGTTGAATAGAAAACAAAATTGGAATCATTTGTTCCATTATAATTATACGAAAACTATGATTTCTAAACCTTTCCTTTTTGGCCTAAGACATGGAATATCATAGCATCTTTTATCCGGAACTCTCATAATTAGTGTGCACTGTTTTTATGACTTCTTTGGTTAAATCTGAGGCTGTCTCTTGATATTTCAAGCGACTTCAATCTTCCTAAGAAATTCCATTGCCTGGTGACTTTGAGTCAGCAAAGCAGCTTCGGTTCACAATTGATAGAGTTTTAAAGTAGTCGGCCAACCTCAAAATAAGCACAGACAGAACACCCTGGGAATGGATGTTAGACAAACGTAAAAGATTACTAGGTAATGGGGCTCAGTGAACACTGGAGTAACCAAAACAAAGAAAAAACAAGGTTCTGTAAATTCTTTATTATCTTCATTTGATTAGGCCTTTGTTTCCATTTATTATGCCAAGTGCTATGGCTATCAAATGTAAGGGTGGAGGGGAACAGAAGAAAGAATGGCACAGGAGAGAGACTGAAGTTAGAAATAAGCATGGCTAAGAGAATAAGACACGATAGCATCTTTGTAGCTGTGTGGAATTACTTAGTTTCTTGAATTAATCATGATATTGGGTGAAAAAGGTGGTGAAAAGTACCAGTGTCCCTAGGGAATAGTTTGGGAACATAGAGAGCTCTGTGCTTGTCTGCTAAGAGTGAAGTTCATTTTATGGTGATCTCAGTATTATTAGGGTACACTTTTTAATGCTCATAAGGCTTGTAATTCATTGATAGTGTGCAGTTTAAAAATAGATGTCTGTGTTCAAAACCATTTCTCTTTCCAATGTGTGTGTTCAGAACAGTTTGACAAAAGTAAGATTAGGTTTTGATGATGTATATCTAATTTTGAGGATATGAATATGCCTCTCTATTCTATGAATACAAAACTGCTCACTGCCTGTTTTTGCAGAGGTAATGTTACAGTATTAGCATCCATGGTATGTATATTACTTGTTGGAAACTTTACCCATAATTTGCATGAGTGGATGTAAGTAAGTTACGGTATTTTGGTAACCTGTTAGCTACTGAAGAGTTGTAATTTTTTTCTGTACTAGAAATTGAACACAGGATCTTGTACACACTAAGCACACATGCTACCACTGAGCTGCTCCCCCAGTCCTCAATTTCTTACAGTCACAATTATTTTAAACAGGTTTATGCATTTTAAAATTTGCTTTTATAGCCACTGAAAAGATACATGATTTAATAAAAATTATCTTCAGTTTAAATCAAAGCAAGACTTTTCAAAAAAAGAAAAATGGAAGGGAAGAGAAAAAAAAGGAAGGAAGGAAGGAAGATAGATCAGCTGGGGATGGTAGCACATGGCTGAATCCCAGCACTTGGACAGCTGAGGCAGGATTGTGAGTGTGAGGCCAACCTGGGCTGTGTAGTGAGCTCAAAGCCAGCCTGAAATGCAGAATGGGACTCTATCTCACAAAGCCAAAACAATTTTTTTTAAATGTCTAACACTTCTTTGCATTTAGTATGTCACTTAATGTTATTAACTATTCTGTGGATTCTTTGGTGTTTTATTTTTTATTTTAAAGAGAATAAAACTGAACAAAATAAAACAGATTGAAGCCAGTGAAAACAACAATGAGAGTGATACAGGAATTCAATCAAGATGATGGGAGATCAACAATGGCTATCATAATATCTTCTTTTCTTCAAAATAGCTGCGCATACCATCGGCTATAATAAAATCAAACAAAAGCAATAAAACCGATCAAAATAACGGAAGTGTTACAGGCCTTCAAAACCTGGTAATACGAAATCGGCAATGGATACTATAATATCTGTTATCTTCAAAAGAGTTTCCCATAGCATCAGATATAATAAAATCAAATAAAACATAACAGGATAAAACCATATCTAACAAAACAATGAAAATGATACAAGAACTCAAAACAAGATCATAGAAAATTAACAATGGTTACCACCTTCCTTTTTTAGATGTTTCTTCCCCTATCACTTTCACAATATCTACTGTACATTTTGGGACCCACTAACTTCTTCAATTTTTGATGATAGGAAGATAACATGATGTTTACCCAAATGAGTCCAAACCATTTCACCCATAAGCATGACCTCCAGTTGCATCCATTTACTGCAAGAGCCTCAAGATTACCCTACTTTATAGCTGAGTAGCTCTCCATTGTATGAAAATGCCATATATTTCTTAGCCATTCAGTGGTGATAAGCAAGCTTTTTTCTGGTTTCCTGTCACACGGAGCATTGTTTCCTCTCCATTGTCTTTCAGTCTATGAATTTCCTTTCATGTTAAATGTGTTTCTTGTATACAGTGTATTGATGGGTCCTGTCTCTTGATCCACTCTGCCTGTGTTTCTTATTATTGGCATCTGCATTAATGCTTATGACCAACATGCTCTGGCTTGTCTCTGCCATGATTTTTTTACTGCTGTTGCCTCCCTTGTTTTCCTCTCCATTCAATTGTCTGCCCCATTCAGTGATCCCCCTCTGCTGCTGTTCTTGCAAGTGTGATTATCTTTATGCCTCTCTAGAACATCCTTCCATGCTCTTTGTAGGTTGGTTTGGTGGTCATGAATTCCTTCAGTTGTACTTTGTCATGGAAGTATTAATTCTGAAAGATAGTTTTGCAGAGTACATCAATCTGGATTTGAAGTTGTTTTCTTTCAGAACTTCTTTCAGAAGTTTCTTTCAGAAACTTCACTTTAAGCTCGTCTTGACTTAAGGGTTTGTGCTGAGAAGTCTGTCATGATTCTGATGGGTTTGCCCTTGTAGGCAATCTGCTTTTTTCTAACAGCCTTAATATTCTGTTCTTGTGCTGAATTTCTGGGAGTTTGATTATTGTATGTATGAGTGTAGATTTATCTTGGTTATGGTTAATTGGAGTTGAGATGCCTTGTAATCTGTATACCAGGTCCTTTTCCCATGTTTGGGAAGTTTTCTACTATTACTTCTGTAAATAGTCTTTTTAGGTCATTTATGTTGACCTCTGCTTCTTTGCTGACACCTATCATTCTTAAATTATTTTTCATTGCATTGCCTTGCAGCCATTGAATTGTTATTTGCTGGTTCCTTATTATTTTTAAGAGATCATTTCTTCCACAGTCTAGCTGCAATCCTGTCTTTAAGGTCTGAAAGCCTATCTTCAGTCTCTTCCAACTGTTTTTTCCAGCTTTCAGTGGAGTTTTAAATTTCCTAAATATCTCTTTGAATCTGTTTCATGCCTTGTAATTCCTTCCTCTATTGTTCATTCTATGTTTCCATCATTTTCCTATGCTTCTCTGTCTTACCTATGTCTTCTTTAGATGTGCTCAGCAATTCTATCATTATGTTTGTGGTTTCTTATTTTACCTGAGACATTATTTCTGATCCAATAACTTTTACAGCCTTATGCAGTTCTTTACTTCGGTTGCTATCCTCTTAAGAGATTGCAGATGTGTGACTTCCATTTTTTCCCCCATGTCTTGTTTCTCCCAGGCTTGTTTTGTATGGGCTGGAGGTCAGAGGTTGCCTTTTGCTCCTTCACCTTGACATTCTCCTGAGTTCCTCCTGACAAGCTGGTTGGGCCGCACTTCCCATGTTGGCTGCCTCTCCTCAGTGTCAGGGAATGGGCAGGCACCTGGGTTTCGGAGAACCCATGTTTCCGAGGAGGAAGTGGGGGATGGGGTAGGCTTCTCCAGACCCATGCAGTACAATGAGGCTTCTCCAATGGCCATGATTATGTAATGGTGGGGCTGCTGCTCCTCTTGGCCTGCATGGCTACACCAAGACTCCCCAGATGGCAGCAGGCACACGAGGCCATGTTTAATTCTCCTAGCCAGCCCACTTTGGATGCCCACAGGAAGCTCCATCTCCAGTGGCAGCCTGCAGGTGCATGGGGCATATCTGGCTGTTTGTCCCTCCTGAGGAAAGCAAGCATCCCATGGCGGCGGGCATGCAGGGGTGGGTCTGGCTATTTCTGCCTGCCTTTGCTGGCTGCCTGCAGGAAGCAAGCATCCTGATGATTGACATTGGTGTTTTAAATTGTATTTTCAGACCCTAATTGTACATACCCCAAAGGTTAGCAACCTAATTATTTTAGTCACCACAATAAGAAGATTCTCTGGCAACTAAACAAAATTTTTCATTTATTCTTTCTATTCAATGTCCAACACAGATTATCATTCATATATTATCATTGGAAGGAAAATAGAACACTACTTAATTTTAATATATGTCTCACAGGGCAGTTTTGATGAATTTAGATTTTATTCATTGAAATAAAATAATGATTTTTGATGATGTGGATTGGTTTCTTGCCCATGCATTGATTTCCTGAGTTGACCCCCAGCTTAGAGTCCTGGCTGGTGTAGGAATAACATTTGCCATCGATTTGCACCCTGAAGACAAAGCTGAGACTCTAGGCCAGCCCTGCCTCAGAACAGCAGGAGTTATTCAGTCACATATCTATGAGTGTACAGTCAAACTTCCTGTTTAAACTCTTACATATCCATAACGTATTCCATCTTTTGATTAGATCAGTAAAGGAATGTTAACATGCACATGTACATTGAAGCATCTTATCTGTTATAATTTTTGCAGCGTTCTCTCCAAACAGGGAAAAAAATCTTAAGAGAATAGTGATTATTAACTGTATTCATTTCTTCTTAAGCAGATTGTTGTCATCTCCTCTTTTGAATCCAGTTTTCCTATAGTTTATGTCAGCAGCTCGTGACGAAATGACCAAATATGTTTTTGGAAAGCACACAAAGTGGGGCTTTCTCTTATGTTTTTTTTTTCTTATGTTTACATTAGGCTTTACTTTAAAGGCAAGTGACTGCTTCAAATAAAACAACTCCAAGCTTCAGGAACTGGTGGAGAGAAAGCAGAGACCAGCAGAAACACTTCTCCACTGACCCTCGCACAGTTACCATGGACCTGCAAAAGCAGTGGGAGAACACAGAGCCTAACTGGCATAAGGAAAAGATGGAATTACTGGACCAGTTTGACAGTGAAAGGAAGGAATGGGAAAGTCAATGGAAAATCATGCAGAAGAAGATAGAAGAGGTACGTGTTGATTTATTATGAATGTATTGTAAAGTTCAAACTCAGAATGAAAATTCTGTTGGTGTTTGTTTTGTTTTGGAAACCACTTTTATGCCCTTTATTCCACTGAAGAGACACATGTGTCAGTGACATTTACCAGACCAAAAATAACATAGCCTTGCCCGGTGGCATCTTAGGGACCATGCTCATCCTGTAGCATTGCCTGAAAGTCAAGACCTTGGCACATCGCTCTAGAATGCAGTGGTGTATTATTTTCAGGATGGAGAAGTTTGGTATCAAATGTTCTATGCAGTCTGCATATGCTCATTAATACCAGGGCATCTGAGTAGAAATGCAGGAAATACATAATTTGTGGTAAATATACTAGAAAAATTATAATTGGGCATTAGAATACAGATTTCCTGAGCAGATTTACGAGTAAAATGTAGCAAAGGAAATTATACATTATATATCTCAGTATAATCAAAAAGTGTGATATATCAAACAAAATGGCAGTAGATATTTTTTCTGACAAGGTATGCTACATTTATTAGAAAAGAGTTTGTCAAAAATGACATGTCATGACTGATTCCACCATTATATTCCCTTATATTATCTCTTAGTCTGTCAGGCATAGACTCTTTCATTCAAGCATTTGCATAGTCATGTATTCAAACTCGCTGGGGAATATTTATACTTACCTCACTTTATTCTGGTAAATCCACAACATTGACTCATGTGGTTTTATGTCCCTTTCCTTGGCCTTTATTTGCAGGCAGTAAAAATGAATGTTTTCAATATTTATAATGGAAACATTTTTTTCTTACTGACAACCAGCTGCTTATGAATAAAATAAAGATAGACAAATTTTGCCAGCCAAAACAAAAGAAGAAAGAAAAGGCAGACCTTTTGTGTGTGATCAGAGATTAAATGACATATCCACTTCTTGTCCCTTCATAATTTGGAAAATGTGTTCCACTTGTCCCTTTTTGGTTTTTTGTTTTTGTTTTTTGATACTGAGGATCGAACTCATGACCTCACACTTGCCAGGCAGGCTCTTACACTACTGAGCTAAATCCCCATCCCCAGTATTTGGATTTTTGTTTGTTTGTTTGTCTGTCTACTTGTCCCTTTAATGCCCCTCTGCATCCAGAGACGGAGACAGAATCATAAGGAGATGTCTGGATCAATAATTCAGACTCTAACACTTTAACTCAGTCAGATACTGACTTAGTCCTGGATTGTTGGTCCCCAAAGGTTTGGAAGGTCCAGTTGGTAACAATGTTGGATCATTTTAACATCCAGTGAATGAATTACCTGATGCAGGATTGGTTTAGTTCATTTCTTAAGTCATGTAGCTAAAATAATCTGCTGATGGGTTAAATTTGCAGTTGTTCAATAATTATTCTGCTAACTATAGACACAATATGTGGTAAATACTAATCTTATCAATTAGCTTTAGTTAGGTCATAACTTATACTGTCTCTTCCTACTTCAGGGCAACAGAAAGGGCTGCAATGCTTTTCACTGTATGAGAAAGTAGCTGTTATGTTGTTATGTTTTTCTGCCTGTGATAGACAGCTGCATAGCTGGAAATATGTATAGATAATGTGCTTACATGAAATATCCATGGATTTTTTTCAGTACATAAGTACTGGCAATGTGCATGTGCACGTGTGTAGGTGTGTTTGTGTGTGTGTGTGTGTGTATGTGTCTAAAAGATACCTTTTTACAGGCTGCAGTACAAAAATAGAAAGATGAGTTGGAGACCACAGCAATGATTTATGTTAAATGCAGCCAGTGATACTGTCTTTCTAGTAATTAACACCAAAATTGTGCCGTGCATATTTCTCTATATTCAGAAGACAATAGCCAACTATTTCCCAGGAATAGCACTTTTCCCTCTTGTTCTAAAACCAAAACCATTTGTTTTCACCCATGCTTTCTCCAAAAAAGGGCAGCAGCATCAACTTTACCCTTAGATCTAACATGCCATGTTGTAGAGTTTCTTTTTAAAATATCCCTCAAGGTGAGCCGAAGCCACATCACACATGGCAGCTTGGTATAAATAATGCTACAGAAACTGTTGATTCACAGCTGTTGTTTGATGCTGTCTTGACCCACCTTATGCAGTGACCACTTACAAATTCAAAAGTACTAAGAAAATAAATCACTGTGTAACTTTCAGGCATCAACTATGTTTAATGCTTTTCTCCACTGAGTCTCAGGTACATATCAAGTGCCAATATATTTTTCCTTATAGTCTTTGAATAACAGTACATGTTATGTAGATGCTGACTGGCTGTGAAGTGCAGAGTCGTTTGTGTTAACATATACCTGAAAGCCTTTTTGGAAATTAACAAGCTTTCCCAAAACTGAAGTCTAAAGAGAAAATTACTTTCCTCCCTCTGGGAGAGAGCTGAGTCTGCAACATGACAATCTCACCAAGAAATAATTTAGGATCCCCTTTAACTCAGGTAAATAGATAATCAAAGCTTTAAGACTCTGTTGTCACATTTGCTTTAACCTGAGTGAGAAACTTTCTTTAGATGTGTATATCCTTGGCATCAAAAACATCTCAGTAATCTGTCGACCTCCCCAGTGTAATCGACCAACCAAAGGACACATTTTCTGATGACCAATTGCATATTTAGGGAGCAGAATAAATTGGCTTATTACGTGAGCTTATCTGCTATTTAGGCACTTAAATGTTGGCATAGAAAGAAGGCCATATGTTTTAAAAACATGAATTTAGTGTAAGTTAAGCACTTGACTCTTTCTGAAGCGATTAGAGAGCATGCCCATGAATTGATTCAGGTCTTTCTGATTTTGTGACAGTGCTTCTGCACCTCCATATAGAGATACAGGTTTCTTTTACTTTTATTGAGTTGACTTTCTGTCCACAATACAGAATTCAGCATCAGTGCACTGCCCTACCAAAAGTAGTCTTTGTGGTTCGCCAAGGTGGCTACAGCTGATCCATAGGTACAAAGTACTATTTGGAGTCAGGACAGCATAAGGTAATGTGGCACAGAGATCCCAAGAGTGGTGTGCGTGGTTATAAAAAGCACGGGCAAAGTCAACTATGGCAAACGAGTTTTCATTTTGTTTTCATGCAGCTTTGCCATGAAGTAAAGCTTCGGAGGAAAATCAACAGGGGTGAAGGTGCTAAAGTCCTCGGTCTCGATCATGAGACGGGCATTGGGAGTGAAATGTTGGCGCCTCCTCCAAATGAGCCCAGCTCAGGACAGTGTGAACTCACAGAGATGGACCACAGCAGTGCCTGGGAAGGGAAACACGGGACAGGGCAGAGCTTACTGGATGAAGAAAACGCACTGTGTAAAGGACAAAAGCTGCCAAAGAAATCAAAAGTAGGATTCATAGACCTGTTGGCTACAGGCAAACAAAAGGGCCATGAGGCTCTACCTGGTCTTGGGACTTCAGAAGAGGAGAGGAAGAGCTGCTCTGGGGCCCTCCACACAGTGAGTAGACGACATGGCTGTGAACTGTTTCTCAGACGCTTGCGTTTCAGGGTGCTAACCCGCTCTTGCCTCTCTGTATAAAGGCTCTTGAAGAACTTGCCAGAGTTAGCGAAGAGCTGTGCAGCTTTCAAGAGGAAATCCGAAAGCGGTCTAGCCACAGAAGGTAAGATGGGCCTCTACACTTATTTTAGGGAAATCCAAACAGTATTACTTGCTTCTTCCTTCCATTTTGTGAGTGATAATTAATGAGTTATTAAAATATATATGTAAATAAATATAAATAAATAAAATGTATGTGTCGGGTAGAGGTAGACACTTCAATGGTGCACTTTGCTGTTCACTGATTTTTAAATCTTCAATTCACTGTACAATTTTATGACCAAGAGGACTTTATTCTCATGGTAATCAGTTTAGTAAACCTTCCTTTAAAAATTAAGATATGTCCTCTTGTATCATTCTCTTAACTTTATTTTATTTTTTAAAGGAAAAAACTTTGCTTTATGTTTCATAGTAGTGTTTGCACACCTGACTCTCTGGAAGATTTGGAATTATTACTAAAAATATTGGCACATTAGCTAGATGAATTAACCGTATGTGCTGTGATGTTCCCATCCACATCTGCATCCTGCCTTGATCATCTGCATGCACTCTTCTCCCTCCTCCTCCTCCTCCTCCTCTTCTCCTCTCTGCACCCCTCCCAGCACCTGGTGATTCTTCCACTTTCAGTCATCTTTCTGTTTCTTTCAACATGTAAGAGAGAAGGTGTGATACTTGTCAGGTGATACTTTTCTTTCTGTTGTCTCATTTATGCTACTTCATAGGATGTCCATCAGGTCCATTCACTTTGCTACAGATGACAGTATTTTATTCTTCTTTGGTGCTAGGTAATATTCCATTCTGTATGTATATATCATATCTAACATAGTTCTCTTTCATCTTGAGTAATTGGCCAGTGGAAGAGTATACAAGGCAGCTTACCCTGTTAAGTATGACTTTAACCTATGTCAGAAATTAAGAGTGTAGTATTATAATTATATTTGATGTTCTACTGAAACAGTTTATACCCAATTTATTTCTCTACAATTAGTATTTACAGAGAAAGACATATTTAATGTAATTTTCAGAATAAAATAAATACGTTCACACATACACATTGACACAATATTATTTCAATTCAGAAACAGTATGTAATTGTGAGCATAAGTTGTAACCAAATTATAAATTAATTTTGAAGTCTTCACATGATCAATATGGGTTATTCTGATGTCAGTTTCTCTCCTCAAGAAGCCTTATGTTTCTCTTAGAAGCACTGATGGTATGCACCTTCATTTTTCCTTAGCTCCTAGGAAGCTTAGAATTTTTGTACAGACTTGCAATGGGTCTTTCTAAGCCAGCAATATTTTATACATAATATTGCCCTGCACTGGCCCATTTAGCTTTCCCTACTGTTTTGGTAGTAGGTATTTCTCTGCACTTAGTTAATCATTTATAAGTTGAATAGATATAAATGGCTTATATTTATCAATACAATTAAGCTTGATTTGTGAATCCATATTCATGTGATATTTGAGATTTTTACTTGGAGACTGAGAAAAAGACTTACTTTCCAGTTTTTGTTCACAAGTAACACCTAGTTCAAAACTCACATTGTCACATGATGGCTTTTAGAAAAAAGTTGAAAATCTCTCCTGTATAATTCAGAGACACTGCAGTCTTTTCCCGAGGACATTACACATGGACACGACTTCTCCCACTTTTCATTGTCCAACCCACTCTGCTTTAAATCCACCCATACTGAAGTACTCATTGTTTCTTGAACGGGTTCACTGTTTTTATCACAGTTCATGCTGTCTGTATGCCTTTTACGGGACTTATTAAAAAAAAACTTTTTTTAAGCTCAGGTGACACCTTCCATTCGATTATGTCTTATTGTACTTTTATTCAGATTTCTGTCTTAATACTTATTTGTTGTTTCAAATTCAAGAAGAGGAAGTTGTGCTCGCTTAACCCAATGAGTAAGAATTCTAAAGGCAAAGAGGAGGTAAGGAAATGGCAAGAGAAAAGTTACAGAAATAGGAATTCAGTAGCAGAAATGCAAGAGAGTCAGAATTTACTCTGAAGTTTCAAATAAGATCAAGAATGATAAAGATTGGAAAGCATAGGTCAGGCAAGGTGGGCAGAGCCTTGATGTAACACTGAGTATTGACTTTGACCTGTGATACGATAAAGGGAACTTGAAGATTTTGACTAGGACATTTACCTAAAGATTGTGTTTGAGGAAATTGTGGCTCCCTTTCCTGTAGCAGACATCCATGGTTTTTTTTAGGAACTAATCTTAAATAAAGCTATCCCTAAGCTATCACATCTTACAATTATCTAGGATGAAGTCAGACTCTTTTCTCCAGGAAACGCCGAAAGCAGTCAGTGCACCTCAGGGGAACCACTTGATCAACAATGGCCAGTGCATTTTTCCAATCAGTTTCGAAAAAGAAAAACAGACGCGGGGAAAGAATCTGAGCTGTACCAGTGTGTCCCAAAACAACTCTGTAAAAAGTTGCGGAATTGGTGCAGTTGATTTGCAAACACATGAAACCCCACCGGTTCCTCCTCCGAGGAGCACATCTCGAAATTTCCCCAGCTCATATTCCGGACAAGCCCAAGAGCAACTGAAGGGAAGTGTAGACCACAAGAGCTGGGCAGCCTGTGGGAGTCCAGGTGGAAGGAGCTGCAGTCCTCCTTTTCTTTCGAGGCAGCGTGAGATACCTACATTGGGTCCAGATGAAGGGAAGACTTTGGAAGATAGTGTCGTGTTTTCCTCTTTGACACCAGAAATCCAAATAGATAGCAGGGCTCCCGGTAGCGTTAGACTTGGCGTAAGCCCATGCACTTTTGAGGTAGATGCCAAAAGGAGCCCCTCTGCTTTGCGGTTTCAGAATACCTGCTCTCTCCCAACCAAGCCACAGTTAGAAAACGTGCTTGCAGATCACTCTGAAAAATCTCCTGTTCTCCCCGTAAATAATGACAGTAGTTCCTTGGTGGCACAGAGCAGTGGTCCACTTGGAAGTTTCACCTGTGGCTTTGAAAGGACTACAAGGAATGAGAAGCTGGCCACAAAGACTGATGAGTTTAACAGAACTGTGTTTAGAACAGACACACACTGTCATGCAGCATGGCAAAATGAAAGCTACTCACAATCATCTGAAGATAGTAAGCCTTCTGATACCCCACCTGCCCCTGTAGGTGGCCTATCCGTCAGTGACAACGTGACCGATATTCTGAAAACCAGCACCTACGTGCCTGAGCCCACAGAAAATGTACCTGTTAATCATACCGGGAAGTCCACAGCTGGCCTGGCTAGACAAATGCAGGAACAGATGCCTTCCGGCGGTTACCGGACTGTGCTTCAGGAGCGTGACTGGAGACCAAGCAGTTTATCTGGCAGACCAAGATCCGCTGACCCAAGATCCAACTACGGCGTCGTGGAAAAGTTGCTGAAAACGTATGAAACGTCCGCGGGCCCTGCATTTTGGAGCTCTAAATGCGTGCGGGAAAATTGGACCAAGTGGGACACGGATGTCAGTGACAGTTCCACGTCAAGTCGATGCTTACAAGGGATTCAAATGGAGCAGGAGTTTCAGCCAAGGACAGTTTGGGGCGGGGGACAGCAAGTGAAGCCAGGAGTAGATCGCAGAAAGGTGACGGAGGTAAGAAAGCAAGCTACACCGTGCGGTGGGACTGCGTCTGTGTTTCGCACAGGCTCTGGTTCAGTTCAGTGGCCCGGGCATTCACATCAATAGAAGGCAGACACATGTTTTGGCATCTTCTTGGCTCCTAGATCTTTTGCAAATAAATACACCTCAACATGAACTTAACATGTAGCTTTTAAGAATGGGACCAGCACCTTATAACTTTTTTAAACAAATGAATAAATGACATTAATATAGTAAGTGGATTTAAGAACTTTGGAAAGATCAAAGACCTGCTGTCTATTTTTTTAGTTGAGAATGTAAATTTGTAGATTTACGTAACTTTACTCCTTAAAAAGTTGTTTTTAAGGATCTAGAAAATATTTGTCAAAATAACTTTGACTTTGTAGTTATTAAATATGTGTCCAGTTCAGTCATATTTAGTATATGATTATATTCCATAGGGTTGGTCACATAACATGAATATTGGTAACATACAAATTTTAAACAGTACCAAATAAAGTTCTCTTATCTGTAGAACTAAATGATAGTATATAGAAAAAGGTTATTCTTATTTGCATATATTCCTAGCTTGACAATTGCCAAAAAGTGAATATTTAAATTGTCCTTTTAAAAAATCCTGTCCAATTAAGAAAATACAGTCTGCATTAAGTATAGGAGGAAAAGAGATCAAAGAAATTGATATTTAAAACAAAAAACTATAAACTAATTCATTTTCGTGCATGTAAGTTTTTAAGAACAAAACATACAGAAGATTACAAGAACTTACATTTCCAGTGTTGCTAAAATTTATATAGTCTGTATTTTAAACCTTGCAGATTGCCTTCTGGTATAAAAAAAATGTGTCTTTTAAATTCTTTACAAATATGTGTTTCATCCGTCTTATCAAAAACTTTGTTTTCAGAGGGTAAAATTAATTAGCCTCCATTTATATTTCTTTATTTTTCAATTGAGCCTTTAGCTAGGAATATAGCTGGAGACAGAGAGATGAAAACTTGTCTACATTGAGCAACAAAAATTCTCACTAACTAATAAGAATTGCAAAATGTATCCTTTTTTATTTTTATTTTTTCCGTTTAGGATTTGGAGCAGGAAATCTATAGATTCTTGGGAGTATTTTTCCTTTGTTCTTTGTTTAGTTTTCCCTTGAGAATAAATTTTAAAAATAAATCTCCAAATAGAAAAAGGATCCAGGTTATTATCAGATTGTGACTGAAATAATAGAAACTGAGTCCATCCATTCACACTGTCCATCTCAAATCAAAGAGCACAGATGTGTTAAGAAAGTCAGTCAGATGCAAGTGACATGGAAGCTTCTTGATTGCTTAATTGTTAGTGTCAAATGATGTTCTTCCTTAAAAATAAAAAGAAAGAGAGAGTAAAATGAAAGAAAGAAAAAAGAAAGATTTTCACTTGTCAGAAGATGGCCAATATAGAGAGCACCTTTTATGAATAATTAGAATGAAATTGTATTAAAATGTTTTAGGGATTTTGGTGTAGGTTAGTGGTAGTATACCTGCCTAGTATAAATGAGGTCCTGATTTTCATCCTCAGCACTAAACACACGAAATAATTTGAATGATAATTTGACCAAGCTATTCCCCTTCTATGTGTATTCCCAAAACAGTTAAAGACATCACAGTACTATGATTGTTGCATACTGTGTTTATAACAGCACAATTCATAATAGCTAAGTCGTGGAAGCAGGCTATAAACAAATAAGTGGATAAAGAAAATGTGGTGCTTATCCACAGTGGAGACTACTCTGCCATAAAGAAAAACAAGTGAGTCATGTCATTTGTAGGAAAATGGAGGCACCTTGAGACCTAATTCATAAATCAGACATATAAGCTTAAATATCACATGGTTTTATTCTATGAGAAACCCAAAATATAAATAAAGAGCAAAATAAAAGACAGCAGGAAGCAGAGAGATAAATATTTCTTAAGTAGAAAGGACATTAAGAAATGGAAGGAAGGAAAAGGAGAGAAAGAATTTTTTAAAGGAATTAAGATATTTTGTGTATGTGTACCAACTCCTCACAGGGAATGTAGACTGCACACATGGACTAATAAAAATCAGCCAATCAATCAATGAAACTCTTGTGAAATACTTGCATGATCAGTGATCCTTGTTTTAAAAAAATAGGGTCAAATGAGTCATTTGGTTTGTCTGCTTTTGATTTATGATCTCTAAAAGTCAATGAGTCAATAACCTGAGATGAGTAGGAAGTTCTTCCATAAATTTCCCATTAATAAACATCCTACTTCCATCATGTTGAGGTTATTTTACTTCATTTTTCTCTTGCATTCATACTTCTACAAAGAGATAATATCCATATTAAAATTGGAATTTGTGTTTGGTGGTGTAAGCTCAGTGGTGTAAGCACCTTGCTGGCAAGGTGGTCATGAGTTCAATCCCTGGCACACACACACAAAAAAATGGAATTTATTAAAACATGATGCGTTAGGTTACACATATTAGGCAGATAACCTTGTTTAGTTTTTAGTTCATAAGTTTCTTGTTCATAGTTTTCTTGTTCATAAATGTCGTAAGGCATCGATCCCATGCTTGGGATCTGTAGTACATGACGCCCTTTGTTGGTGCTGTGTAGTGAGATTAATGCCTTCTTTTATGTCCCAGGAATCCATGGCTGTGAAAGCCACACATGGAAAAGGATTTTTACGTCCTGCAAGGCCAGCAAATCGCCGCCTCCCATCCAGATGGGCATCCAGATCTCCATCAGCACCCCCTGCCTTGCGGAGGACTGCCCCCAGCCACACCATTTCCCTCCTGTCTGAAACACCAGTGGTTTAAGTCTGTAGTCTGCATTGCTAGATTACAAAAGTTCTATTCCTGATTGCCAAACCAAACATTCTGAGTGTTTACAGCTAAGTCCTGTTCTCTCCTCTGTCTTTCAAGATCACTGGGACAAGCAATGTAAATTTTAACTTCCCATCAGTCTTCAGTGTTTTTAACCTATAGATTAATGATTTCCTTGTATTTTTATTTCGTAGATCAGAATTTTTAATGTCATGGTCATTACCTCCCCCGTGTGATTTAAGTTGAAACAGTGTATAATACTGTATATTCTAACTTTCTTGCAAGTGGTAGAAAGCAAGGTTATATGCATGGCCATGTGTTTGTAGGTGCATGTCTTTCAATAGGAAGTACTCCTATGTATTTAGATAAGAAAAACGTATGTGCTAGTGTCGACTTTGAAATTATAATATGTGCACCTATATATTCTTTGTGTTTATTTAAAAGTTTTGAAAATATACATTACTATTTATATTTTATATACCTTTTAATAGGTATCTGCCTAAAAGCATTTGAAGTTCATATATCAATGAACCACTTACTTGGCTCACAAGTACATTGAAAAATAAGAATTATACACGTATCTAACATCAGGAGTTTTCTAAACACACCTTATAAATGACTTCTTAACCTATTTATAAGGATAAACTAATACTGTTGACTTTTCCTGTTTATTCTTTTAAATAGAAGTCACAAGTTTAACAGATCATTCTTCTAAAGCAAGCTAAAGTGTTGATAAGTGCTTTTATACATCACATGGTGGTCTCAAATGGCTTTAACTGTATACTTGATTTTCTGAGCCAGTGTCATGAGACTACCTTACGAACAACATGACTAAGTAATGAATTTATTTTATCAGCATCAGTAAAGGGCATTCCTTAAATGGGATGCAGAAACTTTACATCATATTGAATATTCCCTTTCTGTTAAAATCGTGGTAAGCTTTTAGTTTTGCTTTATCTGGAGTTATACATATTTAAAGGTAAGTTGTTCTTTCTTCCCTTTCTTAACCTTTTCCCTAAACTTGTAGACAGCCTAAAATTCAGGTTTTTATTATTATTAACAAGAAAGATCAGGAATAATATTTCATTGAAAGCTCTAGGTTACAGTATATTTCCTATGGTGTGCTATCAAAATAAAAAAAGCCTTAAACTAAACTTTGGCACCCATAGTAGCATATGGAACAGAAATGTGTATCTTGGCTACAATTTCCATACACAGAATGAATAAAATCTTGAAAATTGATATAAAAAAGAATGTTTAAGACCTTAGAATTTCACACGAAGGATCGATCTTACAAGCAACTTTTTCTCTTTTGTGTCCATTTAAAACGAACTTTGTTATGGTGTTATTTACACATTAACTACATTTAGGCTTTTCCTTTACACCAAAAGATAGTAAGAAATTCTTACATCAATCATAATGAAGGGCCTTCTCCTCATGATGCTCCGACGACTTAGAGGAATTCATTTTATTATATACTGCCTAGGGGTAAAGTAAACAATTTGAAAATTTCAGACAGCCTTAACAGGCTCAAGACTGTAGCATGGCTATGGCTTGAATCGTGCTTTACAAGAAGGAGAACTCCAAGGGATAAAGTGAGTTCTAGGATGTGAGTTGTGATTGATCCAATGGTAAATAAGGGTTACAGGCCTGTTCTTCTAACTCTCATTTCCTGGAGTTAGCTTTTTCTGCAAGAAATCCGTGAAAGAAAAGTAACGTTGCCCTGAAGTGTTAGTCCTCTAACTATGTGCTTTATCTGCCAGAGGGGAGAAAGTCATGAAAAAGTGACACCGCAGGGCATGAGAAGCAGGCCAGGTAGCAGGGTGGGGCTTTGCGTGGTGATGCCCAAGAACTGTGCAGTGCCTCTTCCTCTCCGTCTTGTGTCTCAGGCAGTCTGACACCATCTATAGTCCCTGCCTTTAACCGACATATCTGAATCCTCAGGATCTCATCTTCACAAAATGAAATTCCTCAGTTCTTTTCCATAATTGCTAAAGCAACAGTCGTGGGAGTCAGGACTAAGATTATGGGTATCCTTATAAAAAGAAAGTAATGCAAAATACTTGATGAGCGGCCCGATTTGTAAGCAGTGACATGAGCAGATACCTGAACAGCTATGGGTCGTCATTCTTGGTCATTTTCTTCCCTGAGACTTACCTTTGTGATCTGTAAACCGACTCCTTTGCCAGACTTCACAAAAAGCCTCTTTCCCTTTATGGTCTGAATGAACCACTAGACTCATTTTAACTCCTTGTTATGTTGACTGAAATGGTAGAACTTTGGATCTGAAAAATAATTATTATCTAGTCTAAGCCCTAGAATTTAAAATGGAAGAAACAAATTTTGTGTTCTCCTTTTAAATATTTTATCATGTTTTCATGAAAAAACCTATCAGGTAACATTTGAAAACATTTTGGCTGTGTCGTGATTTTTAACTCATAAATTTTCTACTTTAGATCGGCATTTTCTTCCCCCCAAGTATATCTTTCATGTTCCAAGCATTGCAGGACTTAAGGAATTTATTGATATTTATAAAAATTATTTAAATACACCTATTTGTAAATGTTTTCCCTAAATAATTTGGGAAGGATGGTCCTGCATTATTTCATGAAGAATGACTGATAGTATCAGCTGAACTGAGGAAAAGAGTAAGAATGAAACAGAAGAAAGTGCTGGGTGTGTGTGTGTGTGTATGTGAGCGTATGTGTGCGCACGTGTGAGTGTGTGTGTGTGTGTGTGTGTGTGTTGCCCCCTGCTCTCACAGAAATTCTAGATCTTGCCTTGCGTCTGACAGCCCAGTGTAAAACTATAGAGGATGCTCTGTATAATCCACTGTTTAAACACTTATGTGTAAATCTTCACTTGTGTTCTTACAGAGATAGTGAAGATGATATTTCATTTGGTTTATTTTACCCTAAAACATGATTGATTTCAATAGCAGTGATTTAGCCAGGGTCCATATCACCTGGACCAAAAAAAAAAAAAAAAAAAGTACCTGCTTCCCTAAAAAGATCTCTAAAATTATCTCTAGGCATACTTGCTGATAAACGGTTACTTGATATTGAAATCTCCTTTGATTCTTGGACGTTAATAAATAAAATAAGCTTGGAAACACCCTTGTGGTATTTGTATACATCTAGAATATTTCTGTTTTCCTCTTGTACAGTGTATTCTAGTAAAACCCAGTCTTAAGTCTCAATTCAAGTATTTCAATATAGCTCCTCCCCAGATTCCTTTAAATGATGGAATTTAAGGCAAACGTGCTGCTAACCATACACAAGCCTATGTAGTTTCTCACACAGTGACAACCACTCTGTGTCCATTTAGCTGCTCAGTGAATTTGATGGAAGTCTTCTTTGTCTGAGACAAGTATTCACTCTGCAGTTCAGGTTGGCTTTAAATTTACTTTGTAGCCCAGGCTGGCCTCGAACTCAGCAGTCCTCCTGGCTCAGCCTCCTAAGTGCTAGGATTAGCATGGACCACAAAGCCTGGCTAACAGTCTTCTTTTAAAAGAGCAGTGACTTCTGAAATTTGCATTTATGTGATAAAGTTGGTTACATGTTTTAGACAGACTCAAATTACTAATGTTATACTATTTTGCTTTGAATTCTTATGTTTTTCTCAAGTGGCAAGTCCTTTTATCAGAATTGAAAACTGTCATTCTTCTCACCTAGAAAATGTGCTTCTTCCACATAAATGGGCTTTGTCAGCAAAAAAAAAAGTTTTTAAACATTGGAGAGAAGGTCCTGAGGCAAGTACCAAAGGTGATGGCTAGTCAATTAATTTGATATATAAATTCTTATCATAGGCAATAATATCACAACTTAAAATAGAACCTATATTTCAATGATCTAAAGAATCCAATGGGTTGGATTGGCAAATTTAAAAGAATAAGAAAAATCTAGAACCTCGTATGAAGCTTTGAGGCGCAGAGCCTAGGGAAGCGTCCAGTTATAAGTCACTTGGAACAGCCTGGCTGTTTGTTTTTGCAGTACTGGGGGATTGAATCCAGGGCCACTCTTAACTGAGCTTCAGTCTCAGCCTTTTTTTAAAAATTGATCTGAGAAAATGTCACCCTAAATCCCCAGACTGGCCTTGATCTTAGGCTCCTCCTGCCTCAGCCTCCTGAGTGGCTGAGGTTACAGGTGTGTGCTGCTATGCCCAGCTAACAATCGCTTTTAAAGGCAAAGCACCTGATAGCGTCAGGCAGTCAGCGTTTGCTTGGCTGCCAGTGCTACCAGGAGCGCCTGATACCCTGTCCTCCTTCCCTGCATAGATGCTCCAAAAATGATCATTACAATAAATTTTTTGAAATGATAGATAAAAATAAGTGGCTCTTCAGACTCCTGGTCTAGGCTCATTTTCTGATGTTCTTTCCTATAAAAAGAGTGAACACTTATTTTTTCATTTTTGTTCTGTTATGTTTTATAAAGTGACGAATTAATTTATTCTTTTGTTTAATTCTGTGACCTTTGTCAAAACTCATCACTCATCATTTATATGGTTTTTACAAACTGAAGAAGTGCACAAAGCTGATTTTGAAAATCTTTCCTACTTTGGGTGCCTGTCCCGATTTTATATAAGCTTGGCACATAGGCCATGATGTCAAAGGTGAAACCAGTAAGTGTTCACTAAATTCTGACCACCTCAGTCCCTAAGGGCCACAGAATGTTCCACACTGTGGAACGTATGTGCACTGCAGGAGAGATGAGAGTCTTCCTCTGGAGGCACCATCTGTGCTGCTATAAGAATAGACCTGGACTTGGGTAACTTACAAAGAGCGGAAATGGGTCTTTTACTGTTCTGCAGGCTGGCAGGTCTAAAATCAAGATCCTGGCAAATTCAGTGTCTGCGGAGGACCCGTCTTCACATTGAGGATGGTCCCTTATGGCCACACCCTCACGTGGAAGAGGACAAATGCTGTGCCCCTGAATGGCCAAAAGGGCTGGCCTTTTCTGCAAGGGCCTCAGATCTCACTATGAGGGAGGAGCCCTCCTGATTTAATCATGGCCTAAGCTCTTGATACTACTGCGGTGGAGACTCGGTTTCCATGTGACTTCTACAGGCGCACATTCTAACCTTAGCAAGCAAGCCGTTATCTCCAGCTTTACCCTCACTCTGATTTAACTGTACTCTGCCATCAGTTCCTTTCTGAAGCTTTGTATTCCAATTAAATTATTCATGTGCCACTGTTTAAGAATCATTAAGTGAGTTTAATCCAGCTATTTGAGATCTGCACATTTTTTTCCTGCCTAATGCTGATCAGTTTTAAAATAATACCCAATGATCAATCCTGAGTGGTACATTTTTATTTCAATCTTTGCTTGAAAGTGTGGGTTTAAAATTAACCCAGTGACAGATTGTCTGAGTTAATGTTATCTGGAGTGAAATGGTTCATTGGTAATGAAAACCAGAGAGGTAGCCACAGTATTTTTTAAGGAAAAGTATGTGTAGGAATAATAAGGAACAATTATTAAAATTTGGGAGGTACATCATTGGGAATAAAGACTTTTTCTGGGAAATCTCAGGCTAACAGAGAGGAGGTGAGACCAGAGAGGTGGAGTAATCACCTGTTCAGAAGTGAGACAGCCCTGTCGCCCAGAAAGCCCTATCACCTCAGCGAATTGATGAGGTGTCGTACTTAGCAAAAGCAAGAGTAAGCTTCCAGCCAGACCTAGGGTCTGCACCACAGCAAAGACTCAAGGGGGATAGCAGTCACACGGGTGACATCCTCGAGGAGCTTTCAGGAAGCAGCGCTGGACCCTGCACCCAGGACCTGGGTGGAAATGAAGTGTCCAGGAAAGGGAACTGGGAAAAAGCAAGGTCTGAGATCAAGGAACTCAGTGCACAGGAATCCAGGAAGCCAGGACCCACCTGCGGGCAGCTAGAGGAGCAAGCACCACCAACCTGACCCACCAAACAGCAGGCTGAGCGCTCGCCTCAGGTATTTTCAGAACTACAGGGGACAAGGGCACCAACACAGGACCTCGCTGTGAGGGACGGGGAAAGGTGCGAAGATGACCCTCTCTTCCCACATTTATTGTTATTTTCTTCTGACTCTATCCCCAGAACCTAGAACTTCATTAATGTAACTGAAACAATAAGCCACTCATAACTTCATATGATAGATGATACAAGCGACATTAGATGCTCAGAAATTAAAAATTATATTTCCCTGTAACACATATTGAAAATAGACACAGTGAAATAGGGAGATCATTTTTACAATTTAAGATATGGTACGAGGTAGCTGCACACTGGGAACACTGTATTGTTTTGGTGAGAGCTGAATGCAGTCAAGGCACATAGATACAATCTGATGAAAGGTAACTTCTGTGACTGAGCCCTGTCTGACTGGAAGGCAGCTGGTCTGCACAGACCCTTGGAAAAGAGATTCCAAGAGCAAGCATTTCCTGGGTGGATTGCTTACTGTTCAGCAGGAAAGGCCAGGGTCTGAAAATAGGAACTTCCTGGCTCCAGGACGCCTCTGCTCTGTGAGGCCCCCACGCTCCCTTAGCCGGGTCTGTGTCACACGGGTGTCACAGGAGGTCACCATCTCTGTCAACTCACCTGTTTCCCACTCCTCCCTAACAGCTGCCTGCTCCTCAGTTAACCATGTTGGGTACTCAGAGAAGTCAGAGAGTTGCTACAGTGTTTCTTGAACGTTTCTACCAAGTCCCTTCTAATGGAGAAGAGGAAACAGCCACCCACGAGTCTCTAACTACAGACCTTTGTAAGGGAAATATTTTAAATTGAAAGGATTTAACTGGAAAAACTTATTCCATGAGCAAACAGGAATTTTGTCTATTTTGTTCACTGACTATAGGAAGCACTTGGGAAAACAACAGCAGATACAATGTTGCATGAATTAATGAATCATTGCTATCAGGAAAAGAAATGGTTTTCCTCTCTGTGTCCTTATTTAATCACTGCTGAGCAGAATTGAGTTACTTCAGAAATTTGAGCTCATTTGAATTTATATCATGGTAATTTCTCATCTTGTGTCACCGTATTCTGAGAGTCTGAACCCAGTGAAAAATGGGCACTCAAATGAAATTGGTTTTCTCTTTGTTTTGCAAAATTTCTAAAGGCAATCACTGAGGTAAAATGAACAGAACATTGCTAGAGAGGTGGTTTAATGGTTTCAGATGATGGATGGTAGCAATTTTGTTAAATATCTTTCAACTAAAAGATCCAAAGACTTGTGTCATAGAAGTGGCTTTCTCTTTTGTTTCTTGGAAAAATATAGCTGAAAGATTTCTTCTCTGGTGGAGAGGGGAGATTGAGCCCAGGGCCCCAGGCATGTTAGGCAGGTGCTTTACCACTGTGCTGCATTCCCAGTTCTTCAAGGACCTCTGTGAAGGAGAAAAACAACAGATCACTTCTGTTTTTGTCACATGAAATTAAATTAAGTTTTCAAGATTTACTTGTCAATAAACTCTTCTCGACTCTCACATTTTTAGTTCTGCTACACAATCTGATCACACCACTGAAAGTTTCTCTATTTCATGCTTAGAAAGAAGCTACACTTATGTTCTCTGTAAATAAGCCAGCTTTCAAAATCCCTGTTGACCACTGGGCAAGGATTCATCTTGTGATCTACACTTTAACCACTGCCATAAGTTTTTTCATTCTCCAGGTTTAAAAAAGTCACTCCAAGGGGCAGGGGATATAGCTCAGCGGCACAAAAGCCTGCCTGGCAAGTATGAGGTGATGAGTTTGATCCTCTGATACCAAAGGGGAGAGACAGAGAGAGAGAGAGAGACAGAGACAGAGACAGAGACAGAGACAGAGAGAGACAGACAGAGACAGAGACAGAGACAGAGAGAAGGAAGTAAGTCATTCCTAAGCAGCATTTCCTTTGCCTGTGCCAGCACACTCACCTGTCAAAGAACAAGTTTTCAAACTCAGTTCACATTTCTTTTCAAATTAATTTTTAAAGATAAGCACTGAAGTATTTTTCTGTTCATTTTAAGTAAAAGCGAGCAATTTTTTTCCAGCCCAGTCATACACAAAGAAAACCAAGAGAGGTTCTTGTAGAAGGAGGCGTGATTGGTAGAGGACCCCACAGCTGCTGAGGTGCACAGGGTGCAAAAGGACCCTCTTCCCACAGA